GGTTTGTTTTATGAATTTTTTTTTCTTTTCATTTTCAGAGTCCTGTCCTGAGGCTTAGGCTTGTTTCAAACTCATGATCCCCCTGCCTCAGTCTTACGTGTGTCGACTACAGGCATGAGCCACCATGCCTGCCATGCTGTACACTTTTTCATTTTTATTTTTAAAGCTTTGCTTATTTTACAGTGTTCTGCTAGCATGTATGCCTGCATGTCAGAAGAGGGCACCAGATCTCATTATTGATGGTTGTGAGTCATCATGTGGTTGCTGGGAATTGAACTCAGAACCTCTGGAAGAGTAACCTGTGCTCTTAACCTCTGAGCCATCTCTCCAGCTCTTCATTTTTAATCTTTTTAAGACAGTTTAGCTGTGTGATGGTGAACATGCCTTTAATCCCAGCACTTGGGAGGCAGAGGTAGGTGGATCTCTGTGAGTTCAAGGCCAGCCTGGTCTACAGAGGGAGTTCTAGGACAGCTGGGATGTTACACAGAGAAACCCTGTCTTGAAAACAAACAAAAACAAAGACAGACCAGGTTGGCCTCAAACTCAGAGAGATCCACCTCTGCCCTCTGAATGCTGGAGGAGGGTTGGGGGGGGGGAGTAGTGGTGCATGCCTTCAATCCCAGCACTCAGGAGGCAAATGCAGGCAGATCTCGGTAAGTTCAAGATCAGCCTGGTCTACAGAGCTAGTTCCAGGATAATCAAGGCTACACACACACACACACACACTCACGAGAATCCCAACCATCACCAGATGTGTGCTCTCCTCTGGAAGGACCATCAGAGCAGAGACCATTCTGGGCACATTCACACACAAACTCCTAGATTTACTTATATGGTCACCCTAAGGTTAGCAATTACATTTCCTTCTGGTAACATTGTTTCCTTTTGGTAACATTGAATAAGCCTATGGTATGTGTCAGGGACATGATGGGTTTTCACTCACATGTCAGGAGCTCCAGATGTTTAAACTTGCAGGACATACCATGTCATACCATGTGGTATACCATGAGCAGAATTAAGATTTAAAGAAACAAAACCCCTGCAAAAACAACATAAACACCACCCATTCCTAGGAAGGGGTGGGGTGCTAGTCTGTATCCACAACACTGGGAGGCTGATGATGCGGATCATTTGAGTTTCTGGCCAGCCTGCACCATATAGTGAGACTTTTGATGGTGGTCACCATGGTATTCAAAGGGTCAGTTATGCTATCAAAGCACTATTCTGGCAGACAAGGGAGAAGGGACATCCTCCATGGTTAAGCTGTTGAATGCCTTTGGCTTTCCAGCTTCTTTCAGGCTTCTGATTTTATCAAGTACAATAGTTACACAAGGGCATCCTTCCACACTTTTAACTTCAAGAGTCAAGTTCAGTCCTCCTGGTGCCCCAGGCACCTTGGGCTGGATTCCCCTCTGACAACCACTCTATGGTTTCCATAACAAGTGCTCTCCAAGTAGATCTGCACCCCCAGGCACCACCAGGTCTCCAGTGGCTGGCAGCTTAAAACTGTTTGCAGGTGGCTTCGGGGCCCTTAACTCTTTAGGACTCAGGCCCCTTTGGCAGTTAACTTTGAATCTTCACCCACTAGGTTACAACAAGTTAGGATGAACCCATAGTTACAGAAAAAAGCCAAGCCCTCTGTAGTGGGTCAGAGAGGATTTCCTGAAGCCCCCCCCTAGCAGGAGCACGGTCAGAGACAGGAAAAGTTGCCCTGCTTCTGTTCTTCCCACTGGATCACACCATCTAATGGCTGAGACAGGCTTTCCGGCATCTCTCCCCAAAGTGGGTAGACGCAATACTATGTAGCTACTTAGGGGGAAAACTCACCTATTCCTCATTCTCTCAACTATGCTTAAAATCAAACCCAAAACACTGTTACCAAAAATTCCTGAATAGCAGTTGTGTACAGCACCAAAGATCAGGAGCTACACCAGCAATACCTTGTTTTTTAGTATCTCCACTGGGGAAAGAAACCTTACCTGTCCCTTAGTGCCTTGATTATTATAGGCTAGTACAACAAATCATATTTCTAGCCGTGTAAACCAGTATTTCCATAGAGACATCTGGACAGCGCCAGCAATGGCTCAGTGGGTAAAAGTGCTTGTTACAGCAAGCCTGATTTGAGTTCCACTCCTGGAACCCACTTAAAAGTGAGACCAGACTCCAGGTGCCCTCTGACTACCAGATGTACTGCGGAATATCCCTCCCCTACCTCTTACTGTAAGTCAAAGATCCCTTGACAGCTAGCTTACATTAACTCTCTTGCCTTTCAGTCTTCCTGCTGGATATATTAAGTACCAATGGCACAATACAGCTTTTGAAGCAGTCAGAGCTGTCTAACTCCCCATAATCTCATCCTGGCTTCAACTCTCCTGTATTGCTGGTATGTCCCATCATATGACACTTCCCCCTTAAAACTGCAATCCATAGGATACATGAGATTACCCTTGGTGGCAGTGTTTGACATCAAAAAATTTTGGGAATGTAGCAAATTGATTACAAATCAGTCCTAGAGGTTGGAATGCAGCTCAGCTGCAAAGCATTGGTAGTTTCACATGCTGGTCCCTGCAGGATGACCTAGATTCTCAGCCTAAATAGTGCTGTCCTGGAGGGTCTCTGAAGGACTGTAACCCTCAGCAAAGGAGCTCAGAATTTCTGGGCCTGCCCTGGGACAAGATGCCCACTATCTTAACCCAAAGATGAACAGGGCTCAACTGCCAAAACATTCATAAAAGGTGAAGAAAATAACCACACCAGAAAATCATGAAGCTAAGTTTATTAGCCAAATGTCCAGACACTTCCTCCCCACATCATTCTGGCATCCATAAACTTCAGTCTGCATACAAACCACTTTCTTTGCAGGCCTAAGGGGGTAACCTAGAGTTGTCAGCAGACTGCCAAGTGATCCTGTCTATCCATTTGCTGATGCACACAATTAGGGACAGTAGGGTAACATCCCTAATTGTCCCACTTCCCTAGATGCTCCATGCCCTCAATATCGCACTGCTAGTTAAGAGCCAGGACTAAAATCCACCTTCACCCCTTAACTCTAACACTGCCTCCACTGAGCCAAAAACCTGTTTTACTATTTCAGTAAAGTCAACTTCAGGCTGGAGTCAGCTCAACAGTTATGAGGATCAATTCCAGTGCCTGTAAAAACCAGCTCCAAGAGGGTGGGGCACCTGTCTTCTGCAGAAAGGTTAACTAAAATCAACAAATGACAACGGGTGTTGGCACACACCTTTAATACCAGCACTCAAAAGCATTGAGGCCAGCCTGGTCTACAGAGCTAGTTCCAGAACAGCCAGGGCTACACAGAGAAACCCTCAAATAACAAAACGCTAAGCCATCCCAACTATAGACAACATAGCTGGACCTAATGCAGGGAGGTGCATCAAGGGTTAATATATTGAATACAGGATCTAAAGATGACAGCACATACAAATGTGAACATGGAAGAGCATGGGCAAAGCTTAACAGCAGTGTAGGAAACATTACAGTAAACTGCAGCGTCAGGCAATGGTGGCACATGCCTTTGGTCCCAGTACTCGGAGGCAGAGGCAGGCAGATCTGAGTTGGAGACCAGCCTACAGAGCTCCAGTCCAGCCAAGAGCTACATAGTAGCACCCTCAAAACCCAAAATCAAAAGCCATCATTATATACACCAATCCTCCCTTAGATACAAACACCAAGGAAACAGATGCTGAGCAAAAGGCTAATGGTATAGTGGGTCTTACACTTCCTAGCTACTGGAATAGTTAAAACTTACCCATCTCTACAATATAGGCTCTGGTGGCAGTTTATCACCAATCTAACGGTTTCCATGTGTTTATAAAGAGTAGCTGTGACTGACAAGAGGGCTTGCCTGGCATACACATAGCCCTGGTACTGTGTAAACTGGGTGTGATGGCACACTTAAATCTCAGCACTCAGGGAGTGAAGGTCATAGTCTCACAGCAGGTTCCACGCCACTCTGGTAGACAGGAGACCCTAGCCTTTTGGGCTAGGTCTACAGAGGGCTTCTCTGCTTCTCAGTACTGTGTGAGTTTAAGGACAGCTAAGTTTAATACAGAAAAACCAAAATTAAATCAAGGAATTTGAAGATAGGGTATGGTGGTGTATGCCGTTAGTCCCTTCCCAGCAGAGGCAGGTGAATGATTCCTTTGAGTTTGAAGACCACTTGGCCTAAGTTCCAGAAAGCCAGGCCTACATAGACAACCCATCTGGAAAAACAAAAATTTAAGACACAAATGGAAAATTTACTCACTGGGATTTGGTACTCCCCATTAAGTTAGCTGGCCGAAGCTACTGGCATCTGCCTGGCATTTATGTGAGTAATGGGCATTGAACTTAGGCCCTTACACTCAACTGTGCCATCTCCCCAATTCCTACAATAGCCTTTTTGATCACCATATCAATGATTGGGGGAGGGGGGATCACTGGTTAGAGTTAACACCAAAAAGGAGCCAACTTTTAAAATTTCATGAACAAAGCACACATAAAAACCTTTTTGTACTTATGTGCCTAGTAATGCTTTTAGGATTACTGTTTCCACATGAGGAAACAGACAAGACTCGCTCCAGGAACTACAGCTAAAGGGAGGATGGGAATCAAATCAATTGGCCTGTGACACTTGCCTACAGTCAGCCTCCCGACCTCATTTCAACTCTTTAGCACCACACCAGAAGCTGTAGTCCCTTCACCACACACCAAGTCTCAAAACAAGGGACACTCAATGGGATGGGGCACTACATCCAGCCCTTAATTACAACTAAATCCAAACCCTAACCCCAATACCTCTCAAAATCCATTTAAACTGGGACCACTGCACCACAGCCCCTCCACAGGGCACGCAAGCACAATGCTCGACTCTGAGATGCATGCAGGGAAACACTGGAGTCCAGGACGCAGGCTGCCACCAGCAATCTCATCGAGGCTTTGAGGTCCCAGGATCTGAATGTGGCTGGACTCCTTTCACAAATACACAACAGTAACATGCATTTCTGAGAAAATTTTTTATTGGCCTTTTGGATAAAATTTATTTGCCGGGAAGGATGATCCCATCATACTGAAAGAGAAGAGATTGTATTTTTCAGAACACGAGGCAACAGCAAGAACTGCAACAAAAACTAATGTTTGAAAATTCTGACTTCAGCTACCTACACTCAGACCTGGGCCTTCCTCTCAACCACCAACCCTGGGAGCCATTTCACAAATTGGCCAAATAGTCTATCTTTAAACAAGCTACCCACCAAATAGCACTCTATTTCATAGCTTCCAATCCCAGTAACAGTCACCAACACCACCAGTTCACTTTCCATAATTCAGTTTTACCTTCTGCTGGAACCAGCGCATGGCCTCCTCTTTGCTGATTCTGTGTTTGGCCCCAATGCAGCCTGTCCTGCGCTTCTTGTCTGCGATGCTGAAACCTGGCCTACCCAGAACCTGTGCCAGGAATAACCAACAGTCATCTAGCCAGCTTAGGATCGAGAGTAGATGGACAAGACACACACTGGAGACTCATCTTCAAGTCATCTAGAAACTTAACAGACTCTAATATCCTCAAGCTGGCAGAACTGTCATTAGCTTCCCAGACAACACACCACAGTACACACATATGCTCTGCAGGCTAGAACCTTACCACCCATTTCCAAGCAGGTTGAGGATCCACCCACACTGCTCCCAAACCTTCTAACTCCTGTCTCTAGAGGGTTCTGATTCCCCTTCCCTTTTTGGTCTCCACAGCACCAAGCACATACATGGTGAAGACATAAATACAGGTAGAAGCATCCATACACATAAAAACAGGATTTGGTGTGCATGGGGGTCAGGACAACACACTCAGCAGTTAACACACAGGAAATTCAGGCAGGGAGTTCAAGACCTGCTTGGGCTACAAAGGACCCTGCCTCAAAACAAAAACCAAAAACATGTGCAATGTGGAAAATTTAACTTCTAAAAAACACAAAGAAACACATTTACCCACCTTTGCTCAAAACACTTCCCAATGCCCTGCTGCCCTAGCCCCGATCCCATCCCTAGGTGTCTAGGAGTCTGAATCTTAGGGGTTAAGATTTCTCACTTTACTCCTGCCTCTTTAGTCTTAGGAAAGAAAAACATGGTCATTTCCACATGAAAACCCCTATCTGATTCTATGTCTACTACATGGAGCAACAAGCCTAAGAGAAAGGGTGGAGACCGGCCAGGGCAACCAGGTCAGTGCAGTACCACGACCCAGGAAGCTTCACAATGGCGGGAACCAGTCTATACTATGTGTGCTGCCACGAACAAGGCCCCTCCTCCCAACGAACACACGAGCAGACATGACACAAGGCTCCAAGGCAGCACACTAACATCCCAACACATAACACGTGACCAACAGAGAGGAGCAGCAGGCAGCCCTTCTCACAGGCAGTGTGCGAAAGGGTAAAGAGCCATACCACATAGAAGTCCAGGCCGTAGATCCCAATGCTTGGGTCATATTTGATGCCCAGATCAATGTGTTCTTGAATTCCAAAGCCAAAGTTTCCAGTATCTGAGAAGTTATTTTTCCGTAATTCATACTCCCGCACCTGAGGAAAAAAATGATGCAGCAGTCAGGCTACTTGCCATGTTCAAGTGCCACAATGAGTACTCAAAACACCCAGCAGGGCCCGACCAAAACCAAAAGTCTGTGCAACCTGGTCTTTCAACAAAACCACCCCCACCTACAGAGTCCATCAAATAATCCCAACTTCCAAAGGGCAGAGAAAAATGCAAGCAAAGAACAGGAACCCAAGAACATCACCCCAAACAACGCTCAGCATTGCTGAGCGAGAACCCCACCTGTCTACACAGGGGCCAGCCTCACCTTCAGGCCTTTCTCCAGAATTTCTTCTGCCTTGGCTCCACGGACAGTGCAGTGAACAGCAATCTTTTCGTTTCTTCTGATGCCAAAGGACCTGACAGTGTATCTAGCTGCAGATAGAGGCCAGACTCAGGTAATGTAAACTCACACTGCTGTCGCTTCTCCCCAAAGAGCAGCTCTACTCACATTCTCTCACACAGAAAACATACCTTTCAATTTCTAGTTTACCCAGCCACACACTAGGACTAAGAACCTGAAACATTAAAGCCTCCAGAGTTCATGACCTTAGTCAGAGGCACAAGAACTGTTATGTTCAGAGAATCTCAAATGCAGCCCAGGCTGGCCTTTAACCAGCAGGAATCCTGTGTAATGGAGTTATAGGCGTGAGCTACCACACCCATCTGACCGTGGTACTCAAGAAAACATGGCTTTAACGCACAGGAACCTGGGTTTAATATAGGGCATGGGAAGAGACAACCAGATGGCTGCCTAAGGAAAACACTTGATAAAAACTGTTGTTTTCTTTTCTTTTTTTCTCCTTGAGACAGGGTTTCTCTGTGTAGTTTTGGCAGCCGTCCTGGAACTCGCTCTGTAGACCAGGATGGCTTTGAACTCACAGAGATCTGCCTGACTCTGCCTCCAGAGTGCTGGGATCAAATGCCTGAGCCACCAACACCCAGCCAAAGCTGTAGTTTTCTAAAAGCATATTGGACTCCATCACCACTGCACAGATGTTCTGAGGTGAGCTTGCCCAAGCTCACTGGAGGTAGCAGGTATCCAAACCCACATCACAGACCTCATGTAACCCACTTGCAACAGGAACCCATGCTTCACTTATGCTCAACCTCAAATGCCACAAAACGAGGGAATCACAACTTTTTTTCTGTAAAAATATGGAAGTGAAGTAGAGCCCAAAGAGGTAATAAGAATGGAAAAAGTACCTGCCAATCAAGGTCATGCCAGTGTTTTGGTTAGATGAACCAAGGCCCTCTGCCCACCCTTCCCAGCCAGCCCACCGTCTCTCACCTTTGGAAAACACAGGTGTCTGGCCTGTGAGCTGCTCCAACACCTTGGCTGCCCGGGTCAGTCTGTCTCCGCTCTCCCCAACACAGATGTTGAGGCAGAGCTTGCGGATGCGCAGTTCCCGCATGGGGTTCTCCTTTTCGCCTTGATCTTGCTGCAAGACAGGGACACAGCAGTCAACACCCTCACGGCCCGACAAAGCCAGTGTCATCTCCGCGGGCATGTCTTATTTATTTCCCTCGTCCCAAATCCTACGAACGCCCTCAGGAAAAGTTCTCAACCTATTTGCTTAGGAAGCAGGAAGGAAGGTCAGTTCGGGGCTACGTCTGGCTGCACGCGCAGGGTGGACGAATGCTGAGAGTAAGCCTGAACTGTAAGTGTGTATGCTAACAGAGACTACGGTTTATAGAAAGTTAGTCAGACAAGAGAGAATAATACAATGCAACCCCACCCCAAAAAAACACAGAAAACCGCAGGACACACGCGCCCATGAGACATCCCCTCCCCCCTTCCGGAGCTGTCTGCGGCTTTGGCCCAACACTAGCACCGGCACTGAGTGTGGGAGCCGGCAGAAGCTGCCCAGCACCAACAAGCTTGCAGGCCCCTGGACTGAGAACGACACCGAGCTCGGCACGTTCCGCTCGCACTCACGGCAGCCCCAGACCCCGCGTCTGGGTCCCCGGGGCCGCTGACCTGAACGCCTTCCTAGAATGGGAGGCGATGTGACAGGCGAGCCGAGCCCTGCGCCCGCACAGCCCTGCCGGCCTCAGTGCCACCAGCATCGCGGGCTCCGTCCTCCTCCGGCAAGAAAGCCCTGGTGGGCTCCGCCGGCCTAGGATGGAGATGGATGAAAAGGAGGCAAAGCCAGCTCTCGCTTACTCACCGACATGATGGGGAACAGGAAGAGAGGGCAGAACTTCCGGCCCCGTGGCCTTATGGGCCAGGAGGCGGGCTTTTTAGCTGGACTAACAAACGAGAAGAGAGTGAGGAGAAGAACGACTGTCTTGGTGCAGCGCCTGCTAGTGGATTTTACTGGGAACTGCAATCATCTCTGGAGGAAGACCAGGTCTGGACATCATATCCTTGAGTCCATAACTATGAACAGTATCAGGACCTGGCGGTTCTTGAGAAATAACACTGCTCAAGGTTCGTTAAACCACTTGTCCAATGATCTAGGGAGAAGGCTCAACAGATAAGAACATTGCTGTTCTTGCAGAGGACTTTGGTTTGGTTCCCAGCATTTACAAGAGCATCTCAAAACATCTGTTCCAGGACAGATGCCTCTTCTGAGACCTACAGGCACCAGGCACACAAATGGTGCATACACAAACATGCAGGCAAAACACACATATGCATAAAAATAAGCAAAAATTTAAAATAAGTAAATTGTACAGATTACAGTAAATTTATAATGTAACTATGTTAACAGAAGTCACACAAATCAGAGTAATGACATAAGAGTCCTGAGTTGAGCCAGGCAGTGGTGAAGCCCTTAATTCCAGCACTCGGGAGGCAGAGGCAAGCAGATCTATGGATTCAAGGCCAGCATAGTCTACAAAGCTACACAGAGAAACCTTGCCTTGGGCGGGGGGAATCCTGAGCTGATCACTAGTGATGGAACATGCCTTTAATCCCTGCAGTTGGGAAGCAGAGGTAGGCAGATCTCTGTGAATTTGAGGTCAGCTTAGTCTACAGAGCAAGTTCCAGAACAGTCACAACTATACACAGAGACCCTTTCTCAAAAAGTAAAAAACAAAACAAGAGTTCTGTGCTGAAGAGATGGCTCAGATTATTTGTTCTTCACATGGAGGACCTGGGTTTGATTCCCAGAAACCATATGGAGATTCACACATCTGTATCAATAGTTCCAGTGGACCTGATGTCCTCTTCCTCCTTCCAAGGACATTGGGTACACACACAGTGCAAGGACACAGGTGTAAGAAAAACACAGTATACCTAAACTAAATAATAAATAAAACTTAAAAGTAGAGTCCTGAGCTGTGAACACAGGCTGGTGTGTGTGGTTTGTTTCAACCAGCTAATTGCTAATTAAAAAAAATCAGCCCGTTTTCCCCTTGTGTAAAATAGGTACCTCTGTGTTATAGGTTACTGTGAAAAGTTAGTGAATTGTATAAGATAGTAGGTAATACAAACATACTATCTCAGAGAGAGAGAGAGGACATCTTGCAAGATGACTTGCAGATGCATCTGAGACCAGAGCATCAGTTGCAGAAGGTAGGACCCTGCCCCCTGGCCCCACACCATTGGGGAGAGGGGGATTCACATGAATGGAAGGATAAGGACGACCAGGATCCACAGCCCAGGCTGAAGCTGGCTTTGAGTCAACCAGTTCCTCTAACAGGAATGCATGGGCAAATGTATCTTGTATCTTGAAAAAGGCAAATGTCTCCTTCTGCTGCCACAATCCCCGTTTTTAACCTACACAGGGGAGACAGATGCCCCCAGCCTTTCCATGTTCTGTGAAGTGGGGAAGAGGTCTTTTCTGGGAAGCTGGGCGATGACAGAGAGCAAAGAGAACAGGTTTTCCTCTGAACCTCTGCCACTGAGTGCTGATGGTCAGATCAGAATAGTCCCATCAGTTAGACAAGATGACTCAGCAGGAAAAGTCCTCACCATGCAAGCCTGATGACCCGAGTTCAATCCCCAGAACCCATGCAAAGGTGGGAAGAAAGAACCAACCTTACAAAATTGTCTTGTAACCGTCACACACCTGTCATGGCACATGCAACCTATACATACATGGTTAATTATAACTAATTAACAATTGTTTAAAGAATTTCATACACGATCGAGACCATCTTGGTCTGCAAGACCTAGTTCCAGGACAGCCTCCAAAGCCACAGAGAAACCCTGTCTGGAAGAAATACATGAGCACTGTATTTATATAATCTCCGTTCCTGCCCATTCTCCACGACTCATCCTACGTCCCTCTACTTCCTTTCTTTTTTATTTTTTCCCAACAAAGAGCCAAACATAGTTTGACTGCATGACATTTGCATAAGAAAAAGTAGTCTTGGAAACGGTAAGGCATTATGCAGTCACTGATAAGCGGATTTTAACTGTACACAAGATAGGCGGACCATCTAAAATTGAAAAACTGTTCCCAACAAGTATATAAAAGCTTTTAAATATGGTTTATATTTGTAGTTTTACATTGTTAAAAATTGTTTCAAGTGTACCGCTGGGAAGCTGATCTTTATAAACAATGACAGGGTCAATGTGGGGCTGTAAACTGTAAAAACTATTCTGTATGAAATTAGAAAGCTAACATTGCGATATTCAAATTTAAATCAGTTCGCAATTCCCACTCAGGTAAATATATTAATAATAATAAAAAAAAACCACTTATTCTGAAACCAACAAAAGTCTATTGAATTCAAGCTATGCATGTTGGGGGATGGATCTCCGAGGCCTGGATGTGAGTGGGCAGGACGGCCGCTAACCGATGTACTGCGCCATCCATCAGAAACCTTGTCCATAGCCTTGCCTTTTCAGCACACTGCACATGAATGCTGCCAGAGGCCTGGCATTCAGCTCCTTCGGTGACACACTAACCTTTCCTGTTGTCTGCCCACATGAGCCAAACATCTCTTGTAACCTCTCTTCACTGATGGCTTCAGGTCTGTCAGTCTTATTTCCAAGAATTAATATAGGCACATTGGCAATGGTTTCATCTGTCAGTAGTGAACGAAGTTCTTCTTTTGTTTCTAACAGCCTTTCACGGTCTGCACAATCCACAATACAATGCCATTGATAGCAGGAAGGCAATTTTCCCTTCTCTTCGGGTTTGGATGTGCCCACCCAGATCAAAAGCTGTAAAAGTCATGCCAGCAATAGTGAGTTCTTCTGAAGTGGGATGTAGTGTTGGGATGTGCTGGCCAAGCCTGTCATCTTTCAGCATGTGTAGCAACATTGTTTTCTCCGTATTATCCAATCTAAGGATAATCAGTTCATCAGTTTTTTTTTTTTATACAGTCCTAGAAACTATAGCACACTGCTGAAACCACTATAAATCCAGTCAAATATGAAGGACATGTCCGGATCTCACAGGGTCTCCTAAGCATTTCTGCAAAGAAGAAAAGAGCCCTCTACCTCCTAAACCTGTGACCTCCTCTTCAATTATTATTGCTGTGTGTGTGTGTGTGTGTGTGTGTGTTTAGCACACTGAGCCCATTTAGTGTTGCTCATATGTACATGAGCTTAGGGCTGATCACTTGAAACTGGATAACTTACCAATGAGACTGCACTGAAGAAACTGAATTTGAGCCCCAGAGCTCACATTGTGGGAGGAGAGAACTGACTCCTACAGTACCTTCTGGCTTCCACAAGCATGCTATGAAGCCTACATATGCCACATCAATTCAAACTTTAAAAAAAAAAATGGTTGAGGATGTAGCTCATTTAGCAGAGCACTTGCCTAGCACATACAAAGCTCTAAGTTCCACTCCGTTCTATGTTCATCCTGTTGCTGTGATCAAACACTCTGACCAAAAGCAACTTAGAGTAGGAAAGGGTTTACTTAATTTCATCTAATATGTTACAGAATGTCATCAAGGGAAACTAAGTCAGGGACTCAAGGCAAGAGCCTGAAATAGAATCCATGGAGGAATGCTGCCTACTGGTTCTCGCTCAGGATCATGCTCAGCTAGCTTTATTATGTAGCCCAGCACCACCTGCCTAGGGAATGAAGCCACCCACAATGCAATGGACCATCTTATGCCAGTTAACAATTAAGATAACCCTCCAACACATGCCCACAGGCCAGCTGGATTTAGGTAATTTCCTCAATGGAGGCTTCTCTCACTAAAGTGACTCATAGGCTGTCTCAAGTTGATAATTAAGGCAGACCAGGGCACATCCCCAGAACCATGAAGAGTGAGTGTGATGGCACATGCCGGTAATCACAGTGCTTGGGAAGTAAAGGCAGGAATGTCAGAAGTTCAAGGTCACCCTCAGCTACAGACTATGAGACACAATCTCAAAAAATAAATAAAAACTCAGACTTTAAGAAAAAGAGTATATCCTCCTCATCCATGAAGGAACAGTTGAGGATCAGAAGTATGTGGTAATAAGTTGTGATCTAACAAATAAAGCTTGCCTGAGGATCAGAGTGCAAAGCTAGCCACAGTAGTTAGCCATAGAGGCCAGGCAGTGGAGATACATACCTAATAGTATTATACAGTAATATATGGCGCCACAACGTGGCTAATAAGAACTTCCATTTGGAACTTAACAGAACCTTAAAAAAGGGTTTTAGAAACCAAAAACACAGAGAAAAGCAAGGCTTCTTCGTAGCAGCATTTTTCTTGGTTGGGCTCTGTTTTGCTAGATTCAAGCAGAGATTTGCATGGCTCCTTTAAGGGAGGTTTCCTGACTCAGCATAAGCAGCAAAAAACCACACGGCTTTTAAGAAACTCTGCTAACAATTTATTGGTGTGTATCAGAGCTGCCAATGGCAGTAACCACATCTCCAAGCCGGCAACATGCTGCTGGGTGCAGCGTAGACCAAGGCAGTGAGCACAGCTCTCAGTTCTGGCAGTAAAAGTACCTGCGCCATCTTGGATAGACCGTGGCTAACCCAGCTATGACTTTCATTTTAGCAGTGTTGTTGTTTACCTGATAAAAGACTCATGGCCACAAAAAGATAAAGATTTACAGTAAAGACAGATTCACATTAAGAAAAACCTCTAAAAGTTTACAGTGTATTTTAAAATATATGTAGGCTTGGGAGAGAAAAAGAATAAAATGGTTTAAAAAAGACAGAGAGGAGCTGAGTGTGGTGGCACACGCCTTTAATCCCAGCACTCGGGAGACAGAGGCAAGAAGATCTCTGTGATTGCAAAGTAAACCTGGTATGCAGAGTAAATTCCAGGACGGATAAAAGTTACACAGAGAAACCCTGTCTCAAAAAATGAAAAAATAAAAAGTAAAAAAGCCACGTAAAGATGGAAAGCACAGAAAAACTATATG